TTTTTTAATTCTTGTTCAATTTGTATGAAAAGTGCAAAACAAATAAAGAAATAACATTTTCGAAAACGATTAAAATTTAAAAAAAAAAAGTGATTTAATTTTTTAATCAAGATTTTTAAATGAAAATTTTCATAATTTTGTTTTTGAAAAAAATTTGAAATTTTGTTTTTCTAATAAAATTTGAGGAAAAAATAAAGTTTCAACTATAGAATTGTCGAAACCAAAAATATTGCAATAAATTGAAAAAATTATTCGGAAAAATTTTAAAGTTTTTGGTTTTGAAATTTTCTAATAAAATTTGGAAAAAAATTAAAGGGTTTGAATAAAAATTGCCTAACTGGTAAAATATTAACTATTTTTTAAATGATAAAAACTCATGTTTTGAAATCATATTTCTTTCTTAGTTTGAAAATTTCAATAAAGAAAAATATATTAATTAGAAAGACTTAAAAAAATTGTAAAATAAATAAAAAATTTTAAATCTCAATCTTCTTAGAAAAAGTTCGCTGCTTTTTTTGATGTATTGTCTTAAAATTTTAAATAAACAAAAAAATATTCAGAAAAAAATTGGAAAACAAAAGTTTGAAAAAAATCTTTAAACAATAAAAATTCATTCTTTAAAATCACATTTTTTTTAAACTTCAAATTGCAATAAACGTGAAAAAAAATATTATTTAGAAAAACTTTGATTAATATAAAATTTTTAAATAAAAAATTTTAAATCCCATATTTTTTCAAAAAAAGGTAATTTACTGTTATTTTTAATATATGGCCCTAGAAATGAAAACAGAAAACAAGAATTGGTAAACTATAAGTAAAAATTTTTAAAAAGCACTAATTATTCGATGAAATAAATAGTTTACAGAAAGCATTTAAGTATCTTTGAAAGAATAATTTACACTGAGAGAATAGAATTATACTTTAAATGTTAAAATGGCATAAAAGACACTGCTATGAGAGAGTTATTGAACGATTAATAATACTCAAGAGAGCACAAACATATACTGAGTAAGTTTGGGTACAAATAGAAAATATTCAGAAAAAAATAAATTTTATGTGAGTCTAAAGTTGAGTTGACTTTTTAATGTTATGTTAAGTGACATAATTATAAACGTGTGAGTTTCGCTCGAAGTTAGTGATCTTACTCAAAATATGGAGAAGTGTTAAGTGCATTGGTGTAAATTGAGTAAACAAATTTTGGAGTGAAAAAATTTGAGTGTATTGCGTAAGTCGGATTGAGTAGGAAATATATAAATCAATGTTAAAAAGAAGAAAATATTGGAATGAATATTAACAAAATTCCCTAATAAAAATTTTGAAAAAAAATAAAAAATTGAGTGAAAAGTATAGGTTGAGTGTTTTAAACAGCTATTGAGCTACGTACATATTATATAACGTATGCAGTATTTTTATTGTAAATTTTCTAAGTGTACGATATGTGTAGTAGACGAAAATGTAATAAAAATTTACAGCAAGTACATGAAATTTATGAAATTTTTTTTTTTTAAGTTCTAATACATTTGTTGACTGAGACGCTATTATTCTTACAAAATATAAAAAGAAATATTCCTTTGAACAAAAAATCGGTGAAATATGTATGTATATAAAATAGTTATATGCCATATATGAATAGTTAAAAGTTATAAGTATGCGGGTAGGTTAAACTGTAATCGATTACGGGAAAAATTAAAATTTCCTGTGCGCATCAGTTACTTTTTAACACACCCTAGTAGATGTAAATCTTCTCATTGCACGAAGTACAATTCAACCCACCTATGTATATTAGGGTGATTCAAAAAAAAATTTTTTTTTCGTTGATACTCTGAAAAATAGGAAAAATTCATAAGAAAAAAAAATTTCCAAAAATAATAAACTTTAACCGTTAATATCTTTTAAACGGTTGGGTTTACGAAAAAATTGTAGGAGACTAAAATCTAAGGACCAAAATCTTAGGAACAAAAAATTTTGTCAAGTAGCTGGAAGCGAGATATAAATTTTTTTATCTGATAATAAGAAAGAATAGAAAATAGAAATAGGGGGACCTTCCCGTTACAATTAAAAACTCATTCTTGGAGAGGCTACCATAGAGGTGTCTAGCAACCTATTTTTCAGAGAAACAAAAAATTTATTTTTTTAAATCACCCTAATGTATATATAAGTATGTATTTACATAAGATCTTTCACTTAGTGGAGTGAAAAACATTTTAATTAATAAAAAGTTTTTATAAAAAAATTCTAAAATTTCTTTTYCATTTACATTATAGAAAAATGTCTGCTATTTCAGTGGCTAGTTCTTATTTAAGAAACAGTTATGAGGGGAAATTTTTAAATATGTTAGTATAAAGTAGCTTCATTCATAAAAATTATATTAATATTGTAAGAATAAAAAAATCATTGATTTCAAAATTTGTCAAAAACTTTCAAAAATTACAAAATTTGTGAAAATTTTTCAAAAATTTCAAAACATGTCAAACATTTAAAATTTCTCAAAAATGTCTAAGTTTTTTTAAATAAATTGATTTTTTAAATTTTCTAATTGTTAAAAATAACAAAGTTGAAAAAATTAGATTTTTTTCTTTAATTTTTGTTTTATGAATAAAGCTTTATCGAGTTCTCTAAGCTCATATATGTATGTTTAATATTGACAAGCACACCCTACTATTCGTATAATGCTAAATGGTGGATATTTTAAAATTTGTATGAGTTTCTACTGGACATGCAATAATTTTGACAAAGAATAATTTTTGTTTAATAAAAAAATTCAAAAAGAAAAAACT